TATTTACTTTACTTTAGTAAATAGTAAATACTTTATTTACTTTACTTATTTACTTTTTCAAAAAGTAAAGTAAATATCCCACCCCTAGACTAGCATATTCTTCTTCCATCTATTGACTGAACGATGGTTTTCCTGATTTACTCTAGACGAATTTACGTTCCTATTGATTATTTTGAAGAAGATATATCAACAAATGAATAGACATTTTCATAATTAATCTATTATGAAAACAAAAAAAATAAAATAAAGAGAGATAGTTGTTTAAGTTATTGATGGACGTTGAAAATATTTGAAGAAGGAAGTCTTCGAACTGGTAAGCCAGTTTTGGTCGAAACTATATGCATTATGTAAACCTAAATAACCTATGAATACTCTCGAAAGAGTTCGCCTTCTCAAATTATTCCTTTGAACGATGGGACACATTTTAACTGAAAGTTGTGCTCTCTTTTCAGGGACATCAGATAAGAATTTCTTGCGCAAATGTTTTAGACCTGTTGACTTACTCTTCCATCCTCAAATGGCAACATTAAATTTGCCGGTTTATATGATCAATATGAAAAAGACATTCTATTCCCTATGTAATCTTTCAAGTCGAAGATTCGAAAATGAGGTTTTTCTTGTGTTTGTCAACGAGAATCAAAGCATTCATTAAAGAAAAATACTATAGGAGCTGGAGTATCTACGTAGTAATAATCTGAGAAGATGAACCCTTTATCAGGATATAAACAGCTCGTGTCAATCTACATAATAGAGATACTCTCGAGTTAAAAAGAACTTATCAGTTGTAAGACTGTCCTCATCAATCCAGCAGCTTTCAACAAAGGTCAACTATCAATATGGCCTTGATCATAACCTTGTTACAATTTGAGAAAGCATTCGTCTGTTTATGATAGGATTTTTTTTCTAAGTTTTATTGTTGAATCCTATCATATCAGTTAGTATTCCTTCCGATCAATGATAACGATTGTTACATTTTTTTGCAGTAAATCAATGAGAAGAAATGAAAATCTTCCAAATAAATAACACTACGTGATCTTATATTATATTTGGAAAAAGAGACTAGAATTAGAATTATCAATTAAAATAAGATCATTACGAATCATCTAGAATCGATGAAAGAACTTTTTTAATTTGTTTGATTTTTTTTACTAACAAACAATTCTGACAAACGAAGGAAAATAAAAATATTCATTAGAGACTATCTTTACCTCATCCGAACAACACTATAAATAACAAATAGATAACGTTAGAGAGTCGATGTTTTTTTTTCTTAGCACATATCGTTGGTAGGAACATCATCCAAGGACATTATTTTATATATAATAGACCGATGAAAAAAAAAACAATGGCACATTGTAATTTGTCATTTCTTGTTTATTTTTCTATGGAATAATTTCGAAATTCTAGCTCTCTTTGGAGTTTATCTCAATGATTAATAGTTATTTACTATGAAAACGCTTGAGTTAGTTCATATTAATTCACGTTTTCTAACTATTAGACATTCTTTATGTATTTTAAGTATAATTTATCATAATAAAAAATAATATATATAGAGAATATAATCTAACGAAATTTTATTATATATATATATATGACAAATGAATTTCTTTTTGAGAGAATTGATCACCTACAAGAGATTAGTATGGTAAGAGTATTGTAAAACGTTTAATAGGGGTGATCAAGACAGTTTTGGGAAAAATCACAAAGGCACTTTTCGGCCAATTCTTCAACAATCAAAGGATTTCTGCTAACAAATGGTGATATAGTTTCAACACCAACTGAAATCTGTCATGTTGCTAAGTCATTCTATCAAGAACAATTTGCGAAACATACGAACATCTCATCTGCGGTGGAAATAGAAGCGGAAAGCGTAGACAGTCGATTGAGAACGCCCTTCAACGACAATTTACCAGCAGCTTTTCCGGTCGAGATAAAAGATATTACAAGAACATTGCGTCC